TCAATTCTCTCTCTATCATACTGCCAACTGCTGGTCCTGTGGTGAGGACCTCTGTTTTCTTGATGTGGAGATGTAATCCATACCGAAGGCTGTAGCCCTTGATCTTCTGCAGCAAGTGCCTCAAGTTCTCCTCCCTTGCTGCAAGCTGAGTGTGTTATCTGCATAATGCAGGTTTTACTGACGAGTCTTCCTCCGATCCTGACATAACATTCTTCCTCACAGTGTCTTCCCGAGCTACTTGCCCAGCATACAGGCTGATTTAGGTAAAGCTAAAACCTACTTTAACTTCTGTGTAAATATAACATTTCACTTTCTTTCACTAGGACTGAAACATATATTGATTTTTAAATTAATCATATAAAATAAAAATAATTTTATGCAGCATTAGAAATACATCTATAATTTCAATAAAAAGAGCTTCTTTTCTCACGTATTTATTTATAAAATAATTCTTCTCTCTGCAATAATTTACAAACCAAGTCAACACCTTTGTAAGATACATTCTGTTGGATCAAGAAGGGTAAAAACCCCCTAGTATTAATTGGAGAAATTATTTAAATTATAAGTCAGCAATATGAAAAGCTACAACCAACCTTTTGTTCAAAACCCAAAACGATAATTGAGATTTCGGAAAAATTCTCAAAACCAAAGATTTCAAAAACAAACTATAAGAATTACAGATTTTTATTTCTGTAAAATATTATGGGTGAAAAAAAATCATCATTTTGTACCACATTTAAATAAAGCACATCCTAACCAAGATTAAACAAATCAAGATCAAAAGACAACTAAAGAACGCTTTTTCCTTCCCATTCAAGGCCTAAATTGGCCCTGTACCAGATTTTGAACAGTATTCTCTTGCCAGTATCTTAAGACAGGAATCTGGTAAGGCTGCAATCTGTTATTCTGGTAGACTCGTCAACCTGTCTAGTCTCCCAAGCAGCCCCTCTAAACGACACAGGTGAATTGTTTAAAGCTGCTCTCTCCAACTGCTGGTATAATGTGCAGATGTGCTAGTTATCAAGGTATCACTACGACCTCCCTTATGCTCTTTTTAATATTCTAGAGTATATCATTCTGTCCCAAATTCTCAGCATGGAAGGGGCAGAGGTTGGCCTCCCTCATGTGGTGGAGAAAGAGACCCTGTCCAGAGGCCAAAGAGCGAGGCCACGGTTGTGGAGGGTCAGGCCTAGTGTTTACCCTCACACCCAGGACTGTACAGCTGACATTACAACAGCCAATGATCTGCAGGGCCAGGCTGTGGCATCTTCACTGTGACTCCTCTTCGCTCTCTCACAGCTGCAGGCTGGCAAACACTCTCAGCAGGAAGAAGGGCTGGCCAGGACGGTGTGGGGGTCAAGGGTCAGCTCCTCGGCAGGTGGGTCAGGGTGAGACTCCCAGCTCTACCACTTGGTCCTGTGTGACGCGGGTGGCTTCTGGTCATCTCTAAGAGGATGATGCCCTCAACCATCCAGAGAAACAGAGAGAGAGCCTAACAGGTGCCCTCGACACAGCACCTGGCAAAAGGTCAGCGCCAGGAACCTGTCAGCTGTCACACTCAGGGTATCATTTCCATCACTTTGTTTTGTGCCCCTGACGGCCCTCATCTCACTCCTGTCCTCCTCCCACATGTCCTTCCCTGATGCTTCCTTCCCCTGTATTTTATCCTGGGTAAATGCTGGCCTTCACTCAGATCACAATAAAAAGTGGGATCCAGCAGATGACAGAGCACTGCTGTCAACCCCAGGCCCCAGCGATCCTCCAGACAAGGCCCGCCCGAATCTTCCCAGGAGGACACTGCTGGAAGCATACTACTCCCTCCTCCTCAAAGGGGCTGGTGGATTCAAACTGCTGACCTTTCAGTTCACAACCTAATGATTAATTACCACCACGGGCCCTTAAATAAAGTGCTGTCCCTGGACACTCGGGTTGGCGTCCTCCCTCTGCAAAGATGGATGTCGAGGACAAGGCCTGACCTCACATTCCTGTGACCACAAGTCCTAAAAAAGGCCAGCACGCCACAGTGGCAGCTCCTGTGTTTGCGACATCACCGTGATGGGACCCACCTGGCCACAGGCAGACAGCTTCTGAAGGGTCACCTCAAGTGCCCTCATAGACACCTAATTAGCGCTGGATGCTAACATTCTGTGAGACTTCGTCTTTGATAAACGCAAAGCCAGCACTGCGATTGGGGCTTAACTGTACCCCTGAGCTCAAGGTCTAACAATGCAGCGTCTAAGCCTGACACTGAAGCTCAATTCTCCTGGAAAGCGAAGATGCGAATGGTGTCACACTATGCACTCTGAGTGGAGTGTGACTGTTACGGTAAAACCTCCCATTTTTATATCCTCTACTATTTGAAATTGCAGGCATTCTATGAATAGGCGCGATCTAACTCCATGTCCCAGAAACCCTGCTTATTTTAACAGTTATTAAAGAAACCCAAATTGTACTCATTCTTTAAAAGTCCCGTGTACATGAGGCATACAAAAATCAAGACAGGTTCTTCTAATCAAGAGAACTCTGAAAGGAAGGCAGGAAAGCAATACCAGTTACAATAGCCACCTAAAGAGGAAAATGTGGGAATAACTCTAACTAGAGATACGAGTCTTATTCAAAAGAAATCACAAACACTGCGACATAAACATGGCTCACGCAGAACAGCCAATGGACCACCAAGAGAACAAATACTCACGTCCTGGAGAAGGGGCAGCGCGAGTGCTCCCTGGGGGCAAGATGACAAAGCTTTGCCTCATATACTTTGGGCATGTTGCTAGAAGGACCTATTGTTTGGAGAGGGACTTGAGGCTCAGAAAGGTTGGCGGAGGAGAGGAAGCTCCTCCACCAGAGGGACTGACACAGTGACTGCAACAATGGGCTTAAGTGTGTCAGGGACAACGGCACAGGAGAAGACAGGGTTCACATCTGTTTACAGGGTCGCTATCGTTGGGGCCATGGGGGTTAGTGTGTTGGAGTTAGTGAGGCTACCTCAGGACAGGGTAGGGTTCAGAGTTGCTGCACACAGGGCCTCTATACATCGCAGGCAACTCATTGGCACATAACAATAATATACTGTGACAGGTTTGGAAGCAGGAGTGGTGTCTGCTTCCTATGAATTTTGATAAATGTCAACAGTTGTAGAGGGGCTTCAGGCCTTTTGTTCATCTGATGGCTGTGAGTCGTACTCGACTCGAAGACGATCCACCACCACCACACAAATGTGCATATGAGCTGGACCAGAGGGAAGGCTGAGACACTAGTGCCCTGAGTGGTGCTGGTGAATGTTCTGGACGGCTAAAAGAACCAAGTTTATCTCGGAGAGTGCTCCTCAGAGGCAACAATGAGGAAACTTCCCCTCTCTTTGGATATGGAGGGACCAGTCCTTGCAGAAGGGGTCAGGCTCAAAGACCCTCAAACAAATGGCTTAGGACAGTGGCTTTGGCATAGGAGAGCTGGCAGGATGGCCCAGGATCGCCAACGTTTAGTTCTACCATGCTGGGGTCGCTATGAGCTGCGGCCAAGTTGACCCCGACATGAACAGACCTGGAGTACTGGTGGTGCAATGGTGAAAGAACCAGGAAACTAACAGTAAGGTGCAAAGAGACAAGAGCTTTTCTCTTTAAAAAGAGTGGTGGTCTGCTCCCATCCAGATCACAGCCTCGGAGAGCCCAAG